CTGCCAGCATCCTAGGTATCAATCAAGTACCTTTTTAAAATATAAGATATTCCAAGTAGCGCAGTTTTTTGCAGTTCCGCTGGTGTTATTGCAAGAAGCTGCAATTTGTTGATTTATCTTGTAAAATTCTTGGACATGATGCCAAGTGTCCCGATGACAATGGGTATCACTGTTACAAGCTTCATCCATAGCAGTGTAGTTTCAATGGCCAGGTTGCAATATTTCATTATTTTTTCTAGTTCTTTTTCTTTGACTCTGGTATTATTATTATTTTCTGAGCAGCTGTTCCAAACACCACATTAGGCTGCAACAATCCACTTTTATTTTCTAAAAATGTTTCCTACGCTTTATGTGGGGTCCACCAGCATTGCTGGAAATACTGATAATGCTTGAAGCTTCTATTAAGATAATTTATTTTAAAACTCGCCACTAGAGACAGGAAGCCTGGCAAGTAGTAAAGGAGATGTCAACAGGCACATTGTTGTCATCATGGATTATATAAATTTAATCCCCCAACCCAATGCCTTCAAGATGTCTTGGTGTACCATTCTAATCATCCCAGCTAGCAAAACAGATCTCAGTACAAAATGGGGAAAAAAATTACTCTACAAATATAGAATGGGTTCCATGACAGTTAGCACTTCACTATTTAATGAAAACTTTGGGAAATGTCAATGAAGGCTTAACTTTTTGTGTTACATAAGCAAGAAATATGTTTTGTCATCTCAAGGGGGTACTCAAAAAAGACTCTTCATCTAAATTTCTCCCTGGGTTGTAATTACAATCTATCTTGGCTTATTTCCAAAGTAGAATTCATCCCCCTAGAATTCTTTATTGCTCCATTTTTTGTTGCTTTTATTTCTCAATTTTGTTCACAGGACTGCCTGCCTTTGCATTTTTTTTCTCCAGTTTTGGTTCCTTTGATTCATGTTACAATTTTTGTCCTTCTGTGTTCCTCCCTCCCTCCCCCCCCTCCTCTCTCTGTGGTGGTCTTTTACTAATGTCCAATGAAACATTATTCCTAAAGATTTTCAATATACATACATATATGTTTCATCAAAAATATATTTATGGGTTTGGGAGTTTGGCAATGTATACTGTACTAATAGTACCTAGCAACTGCTGTTCAATTCTGATTAAGCAACAGGATGGACTGAACATTACACAAAACTCCTTCTATTCTGAGCCCATTTCAACAATAATTTGTCACACTTCTGATTATATTATTCATATAGAACAGGAGTGGGTTTCAAAAGTTTTTACTACCTATTCTGTGGGTGTGGCCTATTTTGTGGGCATGGCATGGTGGTCATGTGATTGAGTGGGCATGGCCAACTTGATGTCACTCACCAGGAGATTTCATGGATTGGGTAAAATGTGGTGAAGCTCACTTAACAATGCTCTTGCTTAGCAACCAAAATTTTGGGCTCAATTGTAGTCATAAGACAAGGACTATCTCTGCCTTCCTCTGCATGGCAGTCTTGTCCTAGTAAACTCCTTCTCCTTTCTGGCAATTTTCCACTCTGTTAGAGGCATCAAAATAATCCAGACAATGTAAGGTTTCCTGCTGCAGCAGGAGGTTAGACTAGATTACCTCTGAGTAACCTTCTAGACCTAAATTACTGTGCTGTTTTTCCTTCCTTCCTTCCTTCCTTCCTTCCTTCCTTCCTTCCTTCCTTCTTTCTTTCTCCCTCACCTCTGTGAGAAGCAACCCCCCAAATTACTGCTGAATGTCATTTTGCAAACCTGAGCAACTTTTCAATTTAAAACAGGACTCCAAAGTTTGCAGCTTTAAGACTTGTGGACTTCAACTCCCAGAATTCCACAGCCAGGCATGCTCAGTTCAAATTTAAAGTGACAGCATTTGTTTTTCTCCTTTGCTGAATCTCCCAGCAGAAAAGTGAGTTTCCTTCCTTCTTTCTCTTTCTTTCTCCCTTCCCTTCCTCCCTTCCTCTCCCTCCCTCCCTCCCTCCCCCCTCTCTCTTTAAAAGCTTTTTTCCCCCTTGCCTAAACCGACAGGGGGGAAAACTTTTTTTAAAAAAGCTTCTGACAAAGTTTCTGATGAAAGAAGAGATTCGGAGGTGTGGCCCAGCCACCATTTTTGCTACCAGTCATAACCAGTACACCAGATTTCCACTATTTCTTCTGGTGTACTGGACCATATAGGGAGGAACCCACTTCTGATATAGAACCTACAAATTTTCATTTTCATTAGAATTTTACTGTGGTTTTTAAAGCAAGTATATTCAGATTCTTTTACATATATTTTAAAAATACTGAACAAAATTTAAAAAAGAGGAGAATCACAGCATTGTTTCTAGATATTGGTGTGAATTTATGACTGGAGTGCCAACCTTCATAAAAAACATTTGGCCCATTTTTCCCAATTTTACCGATTTTGAGATATGTGGACATAAATTTTGGCATTCTTAGGAATGGGCCATGCTGGGAACTTTGAGTGCTAAAGTTCACATTTCTTAAAGTTGCCAAGTTTGAGAAACACTCTTCTTGTTTTTATTAATTAAATGAATTGTTCTTCCATTGGTTTTATCTCAGTGTTAATGGACTATTATAGGATTACTTTATACTACCACTTCAACTATGACTAGTGATACGTCAAATATGCAGCTAGTATTATAACTTGGTTTTAGGATACAAGATAATGGCATAATTGTGACCACATATAAAGGGTCCTTAGCAATTGCAATTGCAATTGCAACAGCAATAGCACTTAGACTTATGTATCACTTTACAGTGCTTTTGCACCCTCTCTAAGCAGTTTACAGAGTCAGCATATTGCCCCCAACAATTTGGGTCCTCATTTCACCCACCCAGAAGGATGGAAGGATGTGTCAGCCTTGAGCCTGGTTGAGATTTGAACTGCCAAACTGCAGGCAGCTGGCAGGCAGCAGAAGTAGTCTGCAGTACTGCATTCGCCACCATGGCTTAACAACAAGCAATTTCTTACCTTTTTGAAGAAGCTGATAGGAATTCTGCTTAGAAAATGGAACTCTGATACCAATCAATATGAAATCTTTGCAGTACTTATTTTTTGTAGGTATCTATCCATTATTGCCTAAATATATTAATTGGGTCAAACAATTTATTGTGAATGTGTTAAGATAAATTGTTTTACCTTATTTAATTGAAAAGGATACCTGTATGTATTGGCATACCTGAACTTGCCATTAGAAAAAGTACAACAGCTCATTCACAATATTGTGTCTCCTCTTTTCTTTTTCTTTTTTTGCAATTCCCATCCAAAACATGTTATTCTCTTAAGATATAAGAACATGGAATAAGACCTTTCCAAAATGTTTTATTATTTTTATTTGTGTGGATTAGTACTCCTGTAATTGTATCCACAACAGGAGCATGAATTAGCAGCCTTCTGCTAAAACATCACATGAAGAAATGTCACATTCTAAGGAGAATAATACAATGCAAGAGGAATTGATAGTGATAAAAACATGTTAGACACAAAGAAGATGAAATGGAGTTTGAACATTGGTTTAAACATTGCTTATAAAAAACGATGACGTTGTAAGCTGATAGTACAAAGCTGCCACTGAATGTACCATAGTTTACTTACAAGAACAAATTAACATAAATGAGAAAGTGTCTACTTTCATTTATATGAATTTTCTAAATGAAGGATTTTCCAAAACAACAAATAAGAGGAACATCCTGCAATTTGACTCAATTACACTCCCCCTTTTAAACTGGAGTATGGGAGTTATTATTATACCAGTTCCAGGTTTTATCACCTCATTCCATTTTGTGTTATTTGTTAGATCTCAAAATATGTTCATTTCCAAGTATTTTCCTAATAAGTTAAAATATTCAGTTTTAGGGAGACTTAGCAGGGAGAAGAGAAATTATTTTTGTATACAGCTTTAAGCTAAATCTATTCATTTCTAAAACTATCATCCATACAGTACAACATGTTCATTAAAGCAGATTGAAATGAGAGGTCCTTGGTGCTCTTTGGCATAACATCTTCAAAGCTAGCACTAGCACTGATGATGTTAACTATTTGGGGTAATGAAATGTCTGCAAGAAAACAACTGAGCTCAAAGAGCACCAATTATGTGCCCAAATTTAATTAAACCTCATGTTAATTAAATTTGAGTACATATAGAATATATGATAAATGTTCATAGCCTACATAATAAAAGCGTTTTTTTCCCCAAAGGATTCCCTTAATCAAAGGATACTAGTTTTGTTACTATATACCATTATATTGAGAAGGAAGGAAGTGAAATATATACTGTCTAGCACAGTTGCCATGACAGCCAACTGAAGAACAAGAAGTTAAATAAAATCTGATTTATGTGGCAAGTAATGAATTTAGCATCTATAGGGACAGAAATGGATTTTATGTCATATCCTGTAAATCATCAGCAAGAATAGCTGATAGAACTATAACATTAATACTTAAAGAGGGACAAATTTTGACTTTAGCAAGAAACTACAGGGTAGTATCTTTACATAAAAATTATGAGTGGTTTACAATGATTTCAGATTTCAGATTGAAAATAATTTTGCAAAATTTTATTCATGGGGACCAATGTAGATTTTTAACTAAAAGATGGTTAAACGATAATGTTAGAAATGTGCTGAATATTTTGGAATACTCTATTTGGAAAAACAAAATGAGAAACAGGTCACTTTGATCTTTTTAGATGCAGAGAAGGCTTTTGACAATTTCAATTGGGCTATTTTATTTAAAGCTTTGAAAGATGTAAAGTAATTATATTTTCAGCATTTATATACAGCTCTGTTTTATACTCAGTCTTACAACATCCAAAGCTATAAATTCTTTTATCTACTTTAATTTGTAAATTTTAAAAAAAGCATTTCCATCTACCACCAGATTTTATTTTGGTTTTATTTTACATTCTCCTTGACAAAATTCTAATATCTCACAATAAATTAGTCATGTTTTGTTTTCTCATAGAGAGGAATGAGGGTGTGCATATATTCTGATATTTTTTTCTGCAGGTTGACCATCACATATTAAGAATATGAGGATTTTTATTTTCATAATGTAATCACATCTTTGCACAATAATTTATGGTTTATTTTGCAGTTGTCTGTCTCAATTGAGTAATAGTTTGAAGATATTTTTTTTGTAAAAAGATCAATAATCTCCAAACTATTAACCTCTGCTTTCCATGAGATTTTTGTACACAGCATCAATATTAATTTCTCCATTTTTAAAGATAATCTTGACTTAATTGTAAAATAATTTGATACCATAAGAATCTATTATTTCAAATATCACTCTTATTATGACGATACGGCATCTATCTGAAAAACAAATAAGAAATGTGAATATATGACATTTTAAAAAACAGAAAGAGTAGAAATGCATTAAAGTTTGGTGTTGTAGCAATCAATGACCAAATACAGGACAGAAAAGGTCATATTATAGACATGTTTAAAGTAAAAGGTCATCATTCTTCATCATCTAAGCAATTAGTATAATTTACATAACATGCCATTTAATGTTATAGATCTGAAATCACGTTTTTTGCAATGTGTTTTCATGATTATCACATTTGTTTCTACTTGAGTGGAATTTTTAAAGACATTGTATATAATTATTGAGAACTGTTATATATGTTTTGTTATTTTATTGAAACTTTTGAACAGTCGGGAAGCAAACACAGCAGATTTAGTAACAGAATAACAGAGTTGCAAGTGACCTTAATGGTCTTCTAGTCCAATCCCCTGCCCAAGCAGGAGACCATATACAAATGGCTGTCCAATCTCTTTTTTAAAATCTCCAGTGATTGGAGCACCCACAATTTCTGGAGGCAAGCCATTCCGCTAAGTCCATTAATTGTCAGGAAATTTCTCCTTAATTCGAGGTCGGATCTCTCTTTGTTAAACTTCCATACATTACTTCTTGTTTTGCCCTCAGGTGTTTTGGAGAATATGCTGATCCCCTTCTCTCTGTGACAGCCTGTCAACTATTGGAAAACTCACTATCATGTTACCTATAGTCCTTCTCTTTGTTAGATTAGACATTCTCTGTTCCTGCAACCATTGATTGTAGTGGTTAGCCTCCAGTCCATAATCATAATTATCTTTGTTGCTCTTCTCTTTTAGCGTCTCAATATCTTGTTTATATTATTGTGACCAAAACTGGATGAGGTATTCCAAGTGTGATCTTACTAATATAGGATAACACTTCATGTAATCTTACCCCTCTGTTGATGCAGCACACTGTTGGTTCAGTGATATTTTCTTTTGCTAAACTCTTGATTACAGAACAAAATAAATAAAATGAAATTTAATTTAATTTTCTTACATTTATGACATAGTAAACATTTTACCATGTCCAAGTATGTTTCTTACACCTCAAGAAATACAGTTTCCAGACAGGAAGTTAGATTAGTTTGTTTTACCAGAACTAACTTTAAATGATAAAACATTTATTATAATAGAAGTTTTCATATGTTTAACTTATAAAAAGCATTTCTAGACTTCTAGATTTTAAGCATTTTAGTTTTGTCATATTTTCACAGAGTTTTCAATATTTTGGGAACGCAATATTTGCAGAAGTACACAGACCACTGGAATATATATATATATATATATATATATATATATGTATGTATGTATGTATGTATGTATGTATGTATGTATGTATGTATGTATATATACTGATAACGGATCAGAGCCTGTGGCTTAGTCGTTAACACATTTGCCTAATATGTAATACAGCCCAGGTTCGAATCCCAGTAAGGGTATGGCTAGCTGATGAGAGCTAAATAGCTTGAAATAGATCTATACTAGTCTCCCTTTATTTATTTATCAGCACAAATACTACATACATACATACATACATACATACATACATACATACACACACACACACACACACACACACACACATACATACATACTAGGCATATGTCATGCTATTTCTTCTAAATCAAATATGACTAATATTAATGATATTTATTTTTCTCACAAACTTGACAATAGTCTGGATTCCCAAATGTTAAATCATGATAATAGCCAATCAGATTCCACACTAAGTCCCTCTCCTCCTGCACAGGACAACACAATAGCCTTTTGCAAAATGTAATAAACTGCACTTTTAGCATACATAAATGTTTCCTGTATTAAATTATTTCAAAAATAGAGAAATTAAGGTTTTCTTGAAAATTTAAATCCATTTAGAATGAACAATGGGAAATGTTCCTACAGCTAAAAAAGTGTTATCTGATGGGTTTTCCAAAAATGCTGTGGGTTATCATTTTGATAAGCTTGTAAAGTATCATCAAGTCAACAATGATAGATGTCCTTTGCACATTTGAACCATTTTCCTGTAGGGAAAAGAAATTTGTTTCCTCTGGAAAATCTGCCAATAGTCAGGATTCAACTTGAGTTTGATTTACTATTTGAAGCGTCAGTTTGAAGGTTATGGAATAAATTCATATTATTATTATTTTTCTTTCAACATATAGTGGATGGGGAAAAATTGGCTTCCACCTGCAAGTCCCTGGGATGCATCCTTTGAAACCAAATCCCTGGAAATGTATAACACTGCCAGTAATTTATACATTTGACATTCCTGGAACAAAAAATATATTAAGCATATAGAAAACCCAAAATTTTATTTCAACTCTACTTTTTCTTCTTTTTTTTACAGGAAAGAGATTAAAGGACACCTGTCAGAAGTTGCAGGAACTGACTTGATCATCAGGTGTTTATGCTTTGGGCAAAAATACTTGGTTTGCTTACAAAAATATGAATATAACTTTAAACGTACTGCAATTAATTCTTTCCAGAGGGCAGAATAATTTATTCAGTGGTACCATTAAGCTATTGAGTCCAGATTCATATTGTGATATACACTGTTTATATTCAAACTGTATGAAAGAAACTGTATAGAATTCATGACAATATCTTATTGTAATGATTGAAACATTTTAGTTATGTTCATTCAGTGTTCTAAAGTATCTGCAATTGTGTCAGAAATGCTCTAGAAAATCTGATATGGCCTTTCATGATACAGAATACAGAATACATTATTCACAGTCAGAAATTGTTTTTAAGCAAAATGTAAGCAATAAAACTTTTTATGACTTCTCACACTATATCTGTACATGTAAATACATATTTTGCAATGAACAATAAGAACATATAATATTTCTCATTAATAAATGCTATTGTCTGACTGAAATGGGGGAGGTGGGAAGATTTTATAGTGGTTTGACAAAGAACGCCATCCTGTGCCTACAATACTTCCTTAGATTCAGATCTCATGTTTCTACAGCAAGATTTACTTCTTGGTAAGTATGTCTAGCACGGCAACTTAAAATCAATCAATTAACTTATATCTGTTTCTGTACACATATCTTGTTCTCTCTCTTGCTTTCTCCATATTGTATTTAACTGGGAGTCTTTGCTTGCCTTACTTGCAAGCCTCCCTCTTATCCCAAAACTATATGAGTAACTCCAACAGCTGTTTCTGCTTTTATAATCACCAGGTAAACCAGACAGGTAGTGATGTTTATTTAGAAAGTGGATCCAAGACCCAAGAACAGATTCCAGTGGACATCTATGCAATGACTAAAGTTGTAGATGAGACCTTTACTTCAGAGTTTTTGTTCCTATGCTCAAATGCAGAGATTCATTTACAACTTAATATTCCTTGGAGTGAGTCTTTGGACTAGTTTTTCTCTTCCAAATTGTATTATAAGTATTGCCAAAATAATGAAGGGTGAGCTAGTAAGTTAGTAATTTTACTTATTTATACAGTATATACCCAGACAGATTCAAAGTGGTTTACAACAAACAATAGAGAAAATATAAAATACAATATCCCAAATCAATATTAACATATATTTTAAAATAAAATTCCACTAAAACCAAAATTGCTCTGAGTCCAACTCACCTTTTAAAGTTGTCGTGACACCTTGAGTTACCCAACTCATCAATAGTGCTCAAACATTTGTTGGAAAAAAATAATAATTCCCAACTCAGCTCAAGATCACAATGTTTCACCCAGTATTATCAGCACACTGTTAAAAAAAATCTTCCTAGCATATTAATGTACCTAACCTCCTTCTTGACTTCAGTGTGCTTGAAGTTATCAGCTTGATGGATACCAAGGTATTTGTAGTGATCTTCATCCAGAGTCTTGATGATATTTCCAAAGGGAATCTTGATTCCTTCAGCTTTCATTATTTTTCCACTCTTGATGGTAAGGGTGGAACAATTGTCCAATCCAAACTCCTTTGTAAATTCTTGGTGGTATATATGGACAGTGTCAAACAGTAATTTTATTTTAGATGTTTTTCCATACAGCTTCAAGTAAAGTAAGTGAGATAGCCTGGCAGATGTTTTTGATGTTTGATATCCATGCCCTGATGTGTTTAGTATTGTTGACAAAGAAATCAATGCAATGACAAACAAGAGTGGTGAAAGTGAGTCTCCTTGAAAGATCTCTCTCTTAATATTAACCTATTCTAATCTATTACCATTAATCAGCAACTGTGTCTTCCATTGTGCCATCTATCATTGCACAAAACATGTTTCTACTAAATCCTGTTATTTCTAGGCATTTGATTATCCAATCATCTGGCAAGGAGTCAAAGGCCTTCTTGTAATTGATCCAGGTTAATTCAATTCTCCTTCTTTCTCTTGCAGTATTCCAAAATCTTCTTGTCAATTAGGATCTGATCTTTTGTTTCCCATGCTGTTTGGGCATTTTCCTTTTTGCTCATATGGAAAGAGCTTGTTTTCAAATAGATGTTATTGTACTCAGCGACCAGACAAGTTGGCAATTTGAAACTTGTTAATAAGTAGATAATTGATCTATAATTGCCTGGTGCTGCCCTTTATTAGATCTTTCATGATCTTGTTGGTTTTACCTGATGTGAGCCAGTCTTCATTTTCACCTCTGTACAATGCACTGTTTGACAATGAATGAGTGCAGACCAATCAATCAAAAAATCATGCAGTTCATCTTCACCTGGACTGACCAATTCTTGATCTTTTTTGCCCCTTCTTTCACCTTTTCTGAATTTACATTTATGTACATAATTACATTTCAGCTTCCTTCCCATTCTTATCTGTCTCCTTGTATTCCTTTGGGTTGTCCCATAGTTGCACCCAGAATTGCACTCTGTCTTCTTTCTTGGGTATTGACTGGTTCATTGCAGTCTCTCTATGGATAGACTGATAGAAATGTTTCTGATTCAAATGAAATTGGAGAGTCTGCCTATAGTTTGCAACTGAATCTTGTATCTGATGATCTGATGATCTTATTAGCTATAAGATCTTATTTGCTGCTTTATTATTTCCAGTGCTTCCTTGGTCCTCCTTGTTTCCAGTTGATATTTCTTGATCAGGTATTCTGTCTTCTGGTTCTTCAAATATTTGAGGGGCTGACAAAAAAAAGGGTGTCATCCTATTTTCCAAAGCACCATAGGGCAAGAAAAGAAACAATGGATTGAAACTAATCAAGGACAGATCTAAACTAGAATTAAAGGAGAAATTTCCTAACAGTGAGAACAATTAACCAGTGGAATGACTTGCCTTGAGAAGTTGTGGGTTCATCCAACACTGGAAGTTTTTTAAGAGATTGGACAACTGTCCCTCTGAAATGACTAGAAGATCTCCAAGATCCTTTCCAACTCTGTTATTCTGTTAAAAAAATTCATGTCTTCTAGCATGCTTACATACGACCGTGGCATGCTGATATTATTTTCCTCCCAAATCTTTTATTTATTACTTTTTATGTTGTATAGCTGTTGTTGGGGTTTTATTGTAATCCTTCTTGTACTGCCTAGAGTCATTGTTGTGATGTGGGCATAATTTCAATAAATAACTTAAAATCTGTTTTGTATTGGCTAATAAGAAACCAAGTTGATGGCTTATTAAAATGATCATCTGTTCAGTTATTTGATGGCTGTCAAGAAAACTCTTCCTTTTATCTTTCAATTAAAGGTGTGCACAGTTTAAATATGGTTCAAAAGTAAAGAAGAAAGAAGAGCAAAAGCCTTGAAATTAGATATCAATAGTTTATTTGTAGGTCTTCTATTAGTTGTTTTCCCACTATAAAACAATGCATTATATTTGCATTTTAATAACCATTTCTAAATGAGATATAATTGGTATGCAGTAGTTTTCTTTTTTGGGTGGGACAGAAACAGCTACATGAGTCTGAAGAAAATAGTGGCACTAACTCTATTGAACAATTAGATATTTTGACCAGAAAACTAGCTTCCTTGTTTTACATCTGATTTCTCTGGACCTTAATTCCAAGTGGCCCATCTCTCCTATGTATATTTTGAATCAACATCCCAACAATATATATCTACAGTGAGTATATGAGGACATAATTTACTCTGAGGTTTGTTGCAGCTCAAAAATCTACTTGATTGTCAAATAAAACAAAAGTAAATGTCACAGTTTGTTTGTTTTTTTTAGCTGATAATGTGACAATGCTAAATGTTGTCATTAATAGCAATGGGCAAGACCCCTATGTGAAAAATCCCTTTGCAATAATATTGCAATGGGAGGAAAGATCTTTCTACCTTCCAGGTATGATTTATGGATGAGATTTCCAAATCAGTGTGTATTGTTCTCTTCCTGCAATTTCTGTTATAGTAAATAAACAGTGAGGAGGCATTCCTCAATTAATAGACTACAAAAATAATTCCACAGTTTAGTTTTGTAACATCTAGATGCTGGGCCATTGAAAATACTATACTTCTTCATAGTAATCATGTTAAACATGCATTAAATTAAGACAGTATTTTAATCTTAAATTCCTTTATGAACAGTCTACATGAAGCAGAATTTACACAGGAGATTGGAGAGAGGATTTCAGTTTTTGTAACCTCTTCTGATTCACAAATTGACAAAATGTACCTTTAATTGTTAAGGTGGTGTTTCTTCTTTTAGCTTATGCCCAATAGGAAATCTTACAACTGCTACAGAGCCAGTCAATTTATAGGACTGATCGTCTTGATTATCATAACAATTTGAACATCACAGCAACTGATGGATAAAAAACTGTAGGACCACCTGTTGTTTGCAGATTCAAATTGCAGGTGTTTATATAATTGCATAAATCGCTCACAAATAGATCATGTTTCATTAAATGTAAAGCAAATCTTCCCATAAGCTGTCCCTGTTACCAGACTAGATAATGCCTATGCGGAAACAAAATTAATGGAGATGGAGATTAAAGAGTTAAATATGCTTTTGTTTTTTACTGGAATCAAAATTTCCCTTAGATCTTTGGAGCTCATTATTAAATTGTTATCAGGCAATATGTTGAATGATAAAATATGACTTGGCTGAAACCCGATTTTAATATCTTGAAGTTAAGAAGGCTTCCTTCCTTAGGCTACCTTTTTTATTTATAGCTGTACCTAAATTATTCAAGAATGAAGATTATAGTTAAGCAAGTTCAATAGATGGAATGATCTATGGTGTGCTGTAACAGTATTGATATAACTATAGAATATTGAAAAGGTCTTTCCTCTAGCATCAGCATAAAGTCTCATTAATTGGATCTATCTGACACTTTATTTAATTTACTTAGGGCACAATTTATTTGTCACCTCTTTTAATATCCTCAGAAGGAGTCTTCATAGTTTGTAACACATATCTTTCCTTTCTCTTCAGCTCTGCTTGATTTGCCATGGGCTTCCATTGAACAAATAATAATTCTGGAGCATTTCTGCACATCTGATTAGAAGGAGAAAGAACAGCCATTGAATCACATTATATAAATCATCTTTTAACCCTCCAGGTTTCTTGGGCTTTCATCATCCCTGGTAGTTGGCCAAGCTAATGGGAACCTAATAATGATTGAAGATTATAGTCTCCCCCTCTTGTGAATAAAAAGTCCTAAAGGCTAGGCAAAACAGGAAGAAATGGCTAGAAATATTTGAGTCTGATAATTTTCTTTTAAAATGGCTTTTTTGTGATGCTTCAGATATTTGCTGCAACTACAGTAACTGTGAACATTCTGTTATCTTCTTACATCTTATTTTTACTAAATTCCAATTCTCTATTTTTATTCATTTTTATAATTAATTTTTAGAAATCATGTTAGCCTGATATGCCTTTCATCACTAATGAAATATTATTCAGTTTTATGGATTCGGGTGGATACTTTAGTGTAGGCATCTCAATATGTGAGTAAATCATCCTTTCCACTCTAATCTCCTATGGAAGCAGTTCTTTGTATGCAAAACCTCTCCATTACACAAAATCATTCTGTAGCCATGAAGATCAGTTGTTGCAGAGTTGCATTCAGAGTAACTTAGAGAAAAGATGGGCTGTCCATGTTGAGACCTCTGTGAGATAACATTATCTGAAAAAATATTCAGGATACAGGTAGTCTTTGACTTATGACTGGTCACTTAGGAACCATTCAAAGTCATGATGGACTTCCTCAGGGCACTTATGTCCCAGATTTGAAGTTCTGAGGACTGCTCCCCCGCACCCCCTGCATGATCACATGATCACATTTTGGTTTGCTTGGTAACTGTCTGCATTTTACAGCTGTTTGCAGTGTCCCACAATCATGTTGCAATGATTTACAGTGTTTTGTTTTTTTTGCTGGAAACTGATGTTGACTTCTAGTTTCCACCAAAAGACACTCATTGCAGACAATAGATTTACTTAAGACCTCTATGTTCACTTAACAATCATAGTAAGTTACTTAACTACCACTACAAAAAAGGTCATAAAATCAGAACACCATGATGACCATCATGACTCATTATCATAATTATAGCTCAATTATGGTTCTAAGTCAAGATCCATCTGTAACCAAGCACAAATCACTCCGATTATATAAGTTTAATGCTTAAACAAGAGCTAAGCATTTCTTTCCCAAGGCAATGGCCATACTTGCCATGTTACATTAAAGTTGCAATTCATCAGCAACTTTTGGAGCAACTTTTGCACTTGGATGCAACATGGGATCACAGTTAGCCACGTGCAATAATTAATCATTTCACTTAATATAGCAGAACGTATTTCTCAGAAAACATGCATAAGATTCTTCTATTACATGTTTACTGAATTATATTCCTGAAAAGATTATAGGTTATTTATTGGCATGCTTTGACTAACTCTTTCTAGATCTGCTTGCCTGCTTTACCACTACAGTAAAGGTAAATGTTCCCTTTGCACATATGTACTAGCGGTGCTCTTCTCCGTTTCAAAGTCGAAGAGCCAGCGCTGCCTAAAGACACCTCCATGGTTATGTGGCCGGCATGACTAAATGCCGAAGGCACATGAAATGCTGTTACCTTCCCACCAAAGGTGGTTCCTATTTTTCTACTTGTATTTTTACATGCTTTCGACCTTCTAGGTTGGCTGAAGCTGGGACAAGTAATGGGAGCTCACTCCATTACACCACGCTAGGGATTCAAACTGCCGACCTTTCTGATTGACAAACTCAGCATCTGAGCCACCATGTCTCAAAACCACTATGGTACCAGATACCAAACAGCTAATTCAGCTTGAAAATAGCAAACATATAGAATGAATAATGCACTGAAATTGTATATCACACTGAAACAAAAATGGCATAAGAAAAAATTTAATTGCAGGGATCAGCAATAAAATCAACAGAAAACATGGTGAGATAAAGCTGTTGGTATAAGAGGCATTTGAGAAATGAAGATAATTAATGTAAAACAAA